GGATCAAACTGCACTCGCCTCGACTTCAGGAAACTCTGCTTAAAGTTACACACACATCCACAAATATACAACTCTATATGCATGCACCCAGGTCCCTCTCCCCAGGCTCCCCCTTTGTTGCTCTTTCTGTAGCCCGCGATGCTGACATTCAAAATGTTTCTGCTCAAACAGCATGTGTTTAGTCTGCGACCCAATCAAAGCTCCGTTTGATTTCTCAGGAGGAACTGTGTCGAAAGGGAGAGCAGGGCCAGGGTAAGGTGGGGATTATAGCGTAGATAAGTCCAACCATCTCTGTCTGATTTCAGAATATACACCCTGAGTTTTCATTGCGAATGTAAGCAGAAGCACTCAGGCTGACCAAGTGGACACAAGGTTATGAAAGCAAAAATAAAGCTTCAGATTTGAAATAGTCTGTTGTTTTTTTCCTTTACAAGAGTGGAAGGAAAATTATCTTGACAATTTTTATGAATGAAAAAAATATGAGTAACACCTAAAATAAAGCATCCTTTGAGCCCTGCACTGTGGTCCAAAAGTTCACTAAGCCTTATTAACAGAGATGTAGCGGAATAATAAAGCAGTGTTTTGCTGTGTAAAAATAGTAACTTTTTCCTTTTTTCAGGGCATAATGTTTGCCAAACATCATAAAAAGTGTATACATTCACTCCAAAGTCCATTTATTTCCCCCCAAAGCACTTAGGACTAAATCGCTAATAGCTGGAAAAGCTGGAAACAATTGTGAGTGAATGGCTGACGTGTGTTCGTCATATCTCACAGATCCTGAGCCCAAAGTGGTACTATGTTTAATTACATCAGTAAATTGCATTGTAAAGTTTCACTTGTAAAAATGTTTGTTGTCTTGATTTAGTCCAAGAGCAAAAAAAAAGTTGAGGAAAAACTTGTTTGTCAGGTGTTGGTGATGTGTCTGCTATTCAGTAATGATGAGTTGTACTGAGATATTCCAGTAAAACACAGCCTTTACCTGGAAACTGCTAAGCATAGACATAATGGAACTGTATTTATCAGTATTACACATACGAGAGCTGTTAATCCATCAGACTAGTTCCTGTAGTCATTCCGACAGGCGGGCAGTTAAATCTAGTGTAGAGTTGTCTGTTCTATAGATGTTCATAATAAATCTCACTACTTTGTCGCCTTGCCCCTGTTGCACTGGCCCTCGCTCTGACTGTAAGCAGCTCTTTCATGTGGGCCCTGCTCCCTCTTGACCTCTGCTGAAGTCCGTCACATCCCGTCTTGTTCACTCTCCTTCTCCGTCTTTAACTCTCTCACTGTGTCTCCCTCATGCTGTTAATGGAGGACGGTGTAGCAACACAACTTATAATGATTTCCATAAGGCAACACAGCTTCACCACAGGAGGGAGCGTAAATCACAGTGACATGTGTGAGAAGGTGTGTGTGTGTGTTAGGAGAGGGAGTGCACGTGGACTTTAAATGTGCACGCTTGGACACTTCTCTCACTGTTCTGCTCATAATATAGCAATGTCAGTATTTCTGATGGTCTTAATTTGAGCCAGCTTTGAAATACCAGCTAGATATAGACTTAAGTTTATTACTTATGTTGTAGCTTTACCTTGATTGTTCCACAGTATAGCATTAAAACAATGCCTCTCCAGCGAAACAAGTAGGTGACACCATCAGGCAAAGTTACAGATCAGATCTGTGGAGCGATGATCCAGCTCAGATTGAAAAGGCAAGTTTAAAAGTATCTTTTTAGCACTTAACAGTTAACACTTGAATTATTTAATAGATTACAGATAGATTAGTTAAATGAGTCATGACATAATCTGGAAACTTCCATGCAAAGCAATAACATCTCATGAAGAAAAGCATGTGAGGAGTGAGGGGTTACACAGTGCATCTTTAGTATTTGTCCAATCATAGTTTTTTATACTTACTTTACTTATTTACTTGTTGTTCAAGATGTATGTAAAATCCCTCTGTCATCTAGGTAAAAGGAGAACTTTTGTCCAGTTGACAAATTGAATTTCTCCTTTGCCATTTTCATGTTATTGTAACCCTGACAACATCCTGATGATTCCAGCACTCCAAGTTTTGCATCACTTACTAAAACAGCATATTGAATTTATCCGATCTATTGTTGGATGGAGTCTCTGTGGGGACGTTTAGGGGAATGACTGTGGCCGAGCAGAGGTTTTTAAAGATTTGAAGAATGTGCAGTATCCAGTGTCTATGATTGGCAGCAACATATAATCATCCCATTTATTGCAACAGCATCAGCAGTGCTCTTCTGACAGATGCATGTAAACTTGTGTGGTTGTATTGTTTTCTGAGAGAAGGTTCTTATGGACTTATAATGATGTTGTAACAGGGGGTCAGTGCTCAAAATGCAATTATTGGTGAAGGACAAATTGTGTGTATTCTGCGCTATGTTACAGTCCAAGCTCTGGGAAAAATGGATTCCAGCAGAGAAGTATTGATGAATGGCATTTTAAATCACATCTGTCTCGCAAAACTGTCTCTTATTATTTCTTATTGTCAAACCACTTGTACCACTTGGTAAACTCATTTTGGGTAAATCATACATTTTTCAGTCCGTATTTTATATAGAACCACTGTTTGGTTTTTGCTCTTTTACCAGTGTAAGAAAAACATATTGCTTTGCGGTAGTTAGTGATGGTTTTATCAACTTGAGCCATTATGTTCAGAATGAAAGTATAGGGTTTTCTGGTTAGCGCTAGGAGAAACAGCGTGGATTTGAGCCGTACTTCACTTTGACAGATATGCAAACTCACAAGATTGCTCCCATTTTTTTGTCTTGACTACACATAGCAGGAACAGACTCTAAAACATGCCTAACTGTGCCCCTCGCATGCACATGAAGGTTCTGTCCACATATCCAGTGTCTCTATATTAAAACCTAGAAGGACATGACCTTTTAGCAAAACAGTGGCCCCCAAACCCTCACACAGCTCGGACCCAGATTTCAGCATACTCCTATCCAGTTACTACTACTCTTCTGCCGCAGACCTTAAGGTAAATAAAAGAAAGCGTTGTACAAATACACACAGGAGTGCCCAGGCAGTCAATGTGTGAAATGTAGCGCGCCGTTGAGTCTTTTCCCTCCTGCAGATTGAAAGAAGTTGAACAGGGTTTGGGATGATTTATGTTCTGTATAGCTTTCAAAAAGACAGAGCGTAACTATGGTGAAAATTATAGTGACACAAAGCAGAACATCAGAATAATTAACCTCACGGCACCAACTTGTGTTTGGAGAAAGTGAATTGTTGGAAAAGTCAATATAACAATACTAAAAGGTACTAAAGAATCTGTAAAAATGTGTTGGTTATTAAAAGCAGTCAGTTGTTTACTTCTTTCTCTCTGTGTGTTTAGTTCCCAACAAGCAATACCTCTACCCCTCGCTTTGAACTTTCTGAACTCACAACAGTTTTTACTAGACCAAAAAAGGGGCAAAACACATTTACTGGCACAAATTAAATCTTGCAAATAGACTTTTGATTACAGATATGAGGGCACAACCTTTAAGCGGATTTTGTTTTTCAGGACATGGATCCAAGTTTTCGATCATTATTTGACCCTGTAAATTTGCACTTTATAACTTCTCATTGATATGAATATGAACTGACTGGGCTGACGTGCTCTCCACGCCTGGTCCCACTCCAAACTTTAATTTCACACAAGTCAGTTTTCATTTCTGATGATGGGAAAAGCTGGAGCTGTTTAGCCTTTTAATATTTTTTTCAAAATGTAAACCAGTTTCTGTTGAGTCTCAAGTATTATGTTGTGCTGTTGGTGTAGGATGTCAGGTGGTAACCGCAGAGTCATGTGATGGAGAGATGAGGGTGACTCTCCCCTTTATTTCATTCAATGAACAAGTCATTCATACATGTAAGGCTTGTGATGTTCACCCTTTTGTAACAACAAAATATGTACAGTGTATGTACAGTAGAGGCTGACCAGTCCCTCTGTTAGCTGTAATGTAGGAGGTCTGCCAGGCTACCTTACTGGCCCACATCGGACCTCAGGGAGGGATTCTGACTGAGAGTGCTAAACCCCCATATCACTGCCCCCTCCCCACTCGCCGCTCTGCTTCAAACGCCTGGCCTTTCCTAGAACAGGCCGTCCATGTGGCAGCAGGAGGTGCAACAGGAGTACCAGCACCTCAGGTTACCACTTAGTTAAGTAACTCCAGAACACAGGCACCCCTACATGCGCAGACACACCCAAAGAGGGGCCGTCACACGCACACACATGTATGCACGCAGGTCCCCAGCACACGGACAGCTATTAATACCACCCGGAGGATGCCGGTCAGGCTTGTATTTGCATTTCAAATACGTCTTTTATTCCATCTCCCAAATAGTGATGCTGTAAAGACATTTGGCGCTGCATTAAACACTTTGAGCTTTCAGGTGGTCTCAGCCTGTACTCACACACATATGTACCATCATGCATCTGTAATCATATCCATTTGTAATTAACTGCCACAAATTTTCTCCAGGTGGTCTGAAGCTGTTTTTGATGATGTTTTTTTTATAAAGTCCATCCGGTTTTGGTTTTAATTTTGGGTTCATTGTGATGTAACTTTTCTTTGTAATCCACGTAAATCTGGTTATATGCTTGTGAATAGGCTGCCCTCATTCATGTTGGGGGGCCCCACATACACACTGTGTCCATTTTAAAGAGGTCTTTGCTTGAATATTTTAACAGATGTATGTATCTGTAGTCCATAGGGAAGTGAGTGAAACAGATAGAACACAGCTAGGCCATAAAACTGTTCAATGTGAAAATGGCAGAAGCAGGTTTTGATTGATTGCGAAAGATAAATCACTCAATATTAGTTCAACATATGACATTGTTTTGTGAATACCTACTACTATACCTACCTACCATAGGTATTTGTTGTTTTATTTGGTTATTCATTTTAAGCTTTAATTGTGTAACTTCATATTTGTTGTACATGTACATTTTCTCTTATGTCCCTGTTTTGTTTGTTGTTCTAGATGATTCCAGTTCAAGAAGTGGAATAGGACCCAGCAACGGAGGGTCTGAAAACGCCCCAGAGTTGGCTGGGAAACTCGGTGAGGACACAAACAAGCACAATGATGCTGATGAATATAACATAGTTTGAACATGTTATGGATATGCTCAATAACAGACCAGGCAGTGTGCACAGTGTATGGAGGTGTTTGCTCAGATAATTGGCTGAGACTCAGTGCAGGGCAGTCTATTTGTGTGAGGTGTGATTTGGAGGGACACATTCCTTCCTTTGCCCCCTCTCCGTCTCCCAGGACCCCTCTGTCATGGAACGTCAGCGCTTCGTCTTTGCTTGTTGTTATTCTCTTGTCTTTCTTTTACTGGCCCTCAGCGTTTCATCTAAATACTAGAGCAAAATATCTCTGGAGCAGCTCTGTTTTTATGTGCTTACACAAATACTCTACATACACTCTATTCCTTATATAGATCTCTTTTCAGGCTGCTCTTACAAAACAGTCTTTAATGACATCAGGATTAATCTTATAAATATTATTGGATGTAGTTTGTTCTCTATTTAAACACAGTAAAATTACTTAATCTATCATCGCAGTAACAACAGTGGACTTTGCCCACAACATTTTGCTTCTGTATCTCATTGCGTGTAATACAAATGTCCCATATATTCTCTGTCCATTATATATGAAGCAGCTGCTGATAAGCACAAAATTGATTTGCAAGCTTCAAATCCAGCCAACAAGATTACTCTCCCTTCTCAAACGATTCCCTTAACCATAAACTGGACAACAGCCAAAATTACTTCACATTTCAAATATCTGTTTGGTCGCATCATTGTAGAAGACGTCCTTGTGTGTCTCTCCCACACACACTCACTGTTGTAGACACACATACAGGTCCAGTGTGTGATCAAAGGCGGCCAGCCAAAGGGTCAGTAGTATTTTTACACTGTGAAGTGTGGCGTTGAAGTGGCCCCCGAGACCCTGAACAAGCCTGGCCTCTGGGCTCTCTCACCTCTGGTCCCCCTCTATGGCCCTGGCCTCAGTGCTCCGTTCTCCAAACAGTTTTTCTTTCTCTGCACCTCTCCATATGCCTTCGCTCTCACTTTTTATTGTTTTGACTTCAACCCAGTCTGGCTTTGTTTTAGTGTTTTTCCTCTCACTTCAAATAACCTTTCCTTTATATCTCCTTAGTAGTGTACTAGGTCGTCAGATTAGCTGCTATGGGCGTCAGTCTGAATCAATTATCTGAAGTATTATTCACTTCAATCCCTTCAGCCCACTTTGTATTTGTACCTTACGCTCAGTCACCATCTTATTTGCTCTAGATCACCGTGACCTGGGACTCCTCCAAACAATAATCCATCACTCACGCTTCGCTTTTCAGTCACCCTGATCCACTCGTCTCCTTTCATTATCTGATAGACCATCTCAATCGCCATGGTCACAGTTCAACACAAGTCCAGTAGCTTATTCCAGCTCTGAGTGCACAAAGGCGAGACTCAAGAGTGTGTTTGTTTTGTTGTTCTGCCCAGGTTAGGATCAGCAGGAGGATGTGGTGATAACGAGAACTGCAGATTTCAGACCTGACTCATAATTCTTGAACTTGTTTGTTTTCTTAGAACCAGAAAAACAGTTTTAAAGGACAGCAGTAGTTGGGTACAGATTTATCGCCCGGGTTGATGGCTATCCGCTGTGGTTAAGGTTGTAAAATCAAGCGCTCCCGTGAACGAAATCCTCTCCTCCCTCCCCACTGGCCACTTGTTTCTCTTTGATGTGATTTTATTGTTTGTTGATTGTGTTGTGTTTTTAAAAGAACAGTGTATATTGAATAGAGCTTAAGGTTAAGTTAGTTCATTTGTTTAAAAGTGGAAGAATAGCAAAGCATTTGATGGTAGATAAAAAAGGATTTGCATGTCTAAATCAATGTTTGCCGTGTTGTCACCATCTGTCTTTTTATGAGCTTGCGATGCGGATTCAGTTTACCTCAGGATATTTAAAGTGATGTTGGGTCTCTACTTTTACTATGGGAGCCTGGTTAGTAAATAGATGCATGGGCAAAATCAAAGATGCTAGGTTATTTAAGAGCTGTTACCTAAAGATGCTGGTTTGATGGAAAACAATGATATGTTTAATAGTGTGTTCTCATGTGGCTACTCAGTCACAGTAATCTTTTGTGTCAGGAACAAGAGGAAGTGACTCAAAGATTGTGTCTCAAACAGAACTATTAACTTTATTGCTGCCAATTACGTTGTTTATACTACAAGGCACTCTGCCATGTGTTTCACCATCCCATACTTTCTCTGGCACTGATTGGGCAGTGATTTCATCCGGTCTAAACCAAAAGTCTAATCATGCTAAGAGTAAAAAAGTTTGTGAGAGCATGTTTACAGAAAATAACAAGAGCTGAAGTTGAACCATACATAAAGTGCAGCTGATTGGATTGAAAAGGACTTCAAAAGACTGGATTTCATGGAGTGTAATGGACAGTTCCACACCAGTGATAATCGTCAATGGAGCAGAAAATTAATTTGATACATTAAAGCGTTGCATCTGTGTCTCTGGAGAGCAAGCTAAAGAAATATATCGAGTTCTCTCACAGTCATTTCCTAACATGTACAAATGCTAACATCCAGTTATATTATAGCTTTGTGAATATTACAAATTTAGGCAGTTTTAGGCTACATTTTACTGATATGAGATGTAAGGAAGCAAAAATGACATGTGGCTGTACTAAACTTTTTATTCTGTACACACAGCATTGCAAATTGTCAATATTGAAGTCATACTGCAAGAATGTTAATCTTCATAGTCAAATATGTGTGACTAAGGTGCTTGTGATGATGAAAATTGTGATATATCTTGTGCAGGCATAGTAGAATTATTGAATCTCTCTTCAAAATACACTCTATTTGTCCTACCCCAGTTTGGCCTTTCAACCCACAGTGGTCGCAAAATACCATCACTGAAGCCTATGTTTGCTTTGTGCACTTTGTTTTCTGAAGAAACATACCAGACTCCTTCTAAATGAACAAAAATATACTGATGAAAAACTAACAATTAATAAATTCTTTCTCCCTCTAAGCCCAACACAGTTTGCCCCTCAAAGAAAGCCCCTCAGTCTTCAAATGGTTCCTCTTTGTAGAAATAAATAAATAAGAGAACGTGAAACCCAGCAGGCTTGAAATATGTCTGCAGCCTCCTTCTGTGTCGCAGACTTTTCAGATAACATAGCTTTGATCGCTCTTTACGTCTAATAAAAGTGTCACAGAAGAATTTGTGATGAATTCCTCGATCTTTTCCAATCGGTTCAGCCCTAGCCCCTGGAAGACATAGAACAGAACACTGCTTGTAAATATAAAACTGCCCCGCAAAGTGCTTATCTCCACCAATAACTTCTTCTGTTCTGGCCTTTTGTCTTATTCCCCAGGAGCTGTTGAGTTCATTCACACCAAAAGGGAAAGTGGTCTGTAGTTTGAATGGCAAAAATACAAATATAACTGTTATTGTATAACATTTGTAATGAAGTGATTATCCACAAATTGTAACCATTTGTGCCTAGTCAAACTATTGAAATGTTTTCCATGTTTTCAAAGTTTTCTTCACATGGAAATTGACAATAATAATGTCTTGGAAATTATTTACTCGATCTGTACTCAAGTAAGAGTGTATAGATAAGCATCAAAGACACTACTTCACAAGCTCCAAGTGTTTGATCATTTAGCTATCCGCATTGTCACAGGTGTACCACTTAGCAGCCACCATTCCACACTTTACTCCCCTGTGAAAAGGTGCTCTCTCTACACCTGATGACAAACCCACTGGTTATTGTTCATTTAGTCTTTAACTGGTGAAACCCCGTCCTACCTCAGCTCACTGCTAAATATCCACAGCTCCAGCCGCTTAGTCCAACAGCCACATTAACACTCCTAATGCCCACACAGGTTTGGGCTCATTTCAGTTGTCTACAGCAGCTGACTGGAACAACCTACAACAGATTTTAAAACATTTTCTTTTTACCTCTGTCTACTTTTACTCAAACCAGAGTATTTTACAGGATCAGTGAACAATTTTATATCTTTCATCTTTTTCACTGTCTCATGATATGATTCACTGTTTCATGTTCATGATTCTGTTTTAAGCTGCATTTTGGCCTGGTCATCATTGCAAATGAGAATGTGTTCTCAGTGTACTTTCCTGATAAAATATTGCATAAATAAATAAAAGTGTAACATTACATCAGAATTATACTACTAAAATACAAAGTAGTGGTCCAAGAAATTACAAAGAAGTACAATATCACTTAAACGTTTCTCAACTACATGTTAGTTGGTAGGTGGTACTTAGTTACTTACTTAATCAGTATGTTTCACAGATACAAAGTAAAGTTGATTCAAAGTAGATCTGTCTCTCTGTCTCTTCTTAATTGTGAACTGTGAACTGTTGTTTTTAATGCTAGAGAAAGTACTTTAATTAAAGCTTGTCCCCATCATTCTTTTATAACTTTTAAGAATGATTGAATTTGATTATGTTTTCATTTATCTGTGCACAGTGCGCCCTCGCTTCACCCAGCCTGCCAAGATGAGGAAGCGTGTGATCATCCGCCCCGTGGGCAGCTCAGTGCGTCTGAAGTGCACGGCCAGTGGGAACCCGCGGCCGGACATCGTGTGGCTCAAAGACAACAGGCCCCTGGTGGATGAGGACAGTAGGGCGGCTGCAGTGGGAGAGCCCAAGAAGAAGAAGTGGACCTTGAGTTTGAAGAACCTCACTCCAGAGCACAGCGGGAAGTACACCTGCCAAGTGTCCAACCGGGCTGGAGAGATCAACGCCACCTACAAAGTGGAAGTTATACGTGAGTTACACACTGCACTGTATTTGTAGACAAAATTTTAAATTTGATGGCTGCTACACATAAAAAGAAAATTGGACAAAGAGTTATTGGAACATTCAATAACAAATTTGTGCTATAAACATGCCAGTACATATAGTGTTTAGAAATCAGGTAAACTTGTGTGTTTTGTATATAGGATACTATTTTGCCATAAATGTATACCTTTTGTGAACTGGAAAATCTTAAGTGTACCATTGTTTCTTGTTGACTGATAAAGCACAAGGTTGCTTAACACTGTGAGAAAAACATAAGAAAACTTTAATATATGCACATTAGGGATGTTTTTGGCTTGTTCCTGCCATGTCACATCCCAGAGTCCTTTTGTTATCCCCATGCCTGCATATCAGAGATGTATTAGTGGTATATCTAACCCCACTAGAAATCCCTGCTGGCCAAACAATAACACATATTATACTGTGTTCTGTGGGGACCAAAGAGCTGAGGTTGAAATAGGATTTTTCCACGGCAACTCACAATAAGGTGATTATGCAAAAACCTTTAAGATCATATGACTGAAAACACCATAATTAGCTTTTAGCCTATTTTAATGATTTGCTGGCACAGTCTGCTGCCAGATATCAGGCTTTGATTCCATTATGGTCTGGAAAATCTGGTCAGTGTATTTTGTAATGCAATACTACAGAGATAATAATATAATTTGTACTCTTTAAACTATTTTCTGTGTTATTCAATTTGTTACTCAAGGTCACCATTGTAAGTTTAAAATTAGTCAGTGTTCCCCTCAGTGACATTTATTGATCACTCTTTCTGTCAGTGAACCTCAGTGAGGAGTGGAAGGAATGTTCTGTAAGCCTTTTGTTGTCGAGCCAGTTGTGGTTGGAGTCTAAAAAAGGTGTTGTTTGAAACGTTTTTTTGTTAAAACCAGAATGTGTTCAGTGATGAGTTGTGAGTGTTTTTGAATATATTAGGTTGTATTGGAAGGCAGCTAAAGCGTATTTGAGGCATTGGTGATTTAGAGACTAGCTGCGTAAAGCAAGAGAGACTATGACTGTGTTCACCACATCTGGTCTACATTTAAGTACAGGTGCTCAGACATACAGGCCCTGAAGAGAAAGGAGAATAGTATCTTTGTTCAGATGTGTGTATAACTCTACATATGTTTTACTTTGGAGTTAGCAATTGGGTCCACCAGAAATGCAGAGATCCAGCATTTTCTTAGGGATGCACCGATACCAATATTAGTATCGAATATCGGCACCGATCCAAGACAATTTGCTGGATTGGGTATCAGCTATAAATTATAATTTCAGCTGATATCCTGGTTGGACATATAAATTGATGTAATGAGACTATTTACTGTTTGTAGTTGGCCCAGAAAGCCTCATAATGTTTGAACTTTTAATACAAAGCTGTTGTTATTTGAGAGATAAATAACATCTGTCATAATATTTTTTGGTTTTAAGAAAAATTTATTTTAAATCTCTGCCCTGATATCAGTTGATATTGGATATAGGGAGATACTTAAAGCCATAGCATCTGAGTGCATCTCTACATTTTCTGTCACATTATTTATATCTTATAGTTTCTATGTAGTATATGATATGTGGTATGTAGTATGCAGAATGCAGGGACTGACAAAATACATAAAGGGGATAAAAAAAATAAACTAAACTAGAATGTCAAGATTTTTATTTAGATTTCATTGTGGAATTTTTGAGCATTTCGGAAAACTATGACATTTAAGATATGTATTTATTTGAATATTTTATATTTGCAGAGCGTACCAACTCCAAACCCATTCTGACTGGTACCCATCCCGTAAACACTACTGTGGACTACGGTGGTACGACCTCTTTCCAGTGTAAGGTGCGTAGTGATGTCAAACCAGTCATCCAGTGGCTTAAGAGAGTGGAGCCCGGAGATGAGAACAAGTTCAACTCCACTATAGAGGTACATGATGTGCACCCACTCATTCTCCTCTGTTCACTGGTCTTTTTCTAACCTGAGTTTGTTTAAAACACAAGGTTGGAGATCATCGCTTTGTGGTGCTGCCTACTGGGGAGGTGTGGTCCCGTCCTGATGGCTCCTATTTGAACAAGCTGCTCATAACCAGAGCCAAAGAAGAAGATGCCGGCATGTACATCTGCCTGGGTGCCAATACAATGGGTTACAGCTTCAGGAGTGCCTATTTGACAGTGCTGCCAGGTGAGAGGACAATAAAACACAATGTCAAATAATTGTTAAATCATAGATTGTTGGAAGTAATTGTAGTTTTCGCATTCAAAATGTTGTGTGTTTTGTGTGTAGACTGATTCATTACCCTATCATATAAAACTTAATATTTTGACACAAAATATAATCAAATCACATAGGAATTACAAGTGTTGAAAAAGTTATTAACATACTCTAAACTGGGGCTACAAAGTTTTGTGATATGCAGTATGGCTGTTAAGAACTGCGATATCAATCTTATTGCAATATTTTTATGCTTTTTTTCTCAATAATGTCATAATAAAACTAAAAAAGTACATACTGAAATTGTGTCAAAATAAAAGCTTCATAGAGAAAAAAACAGGCAGTTTTTTATTTAATAAGGAAAATCATTAATACATTAAAAAAAAAAAAAACATATTCACTTTTATGCATTTCTATCTGATGGAGAACCTTGGTGTTATTGCAATATAGTTAGTTTGTTGCTACTTTGATTATTGCATCAATATTGCTGTATCGAAACTTTTATGATATATTGTTTCTTTTTCTGTCTGCCCCTCAGATGTGAAGCCTCCCATGACTCCTGTGACCACGAACACATCCCAGGGTCTGCCACTGCCCGTCATCATTGGCATCCCAGCAGGTGTGGCCTTCATCTTGGGCACCGCTCTCCTGTGGTTCTGCCAATCCAAGCGCACCTGCTCCTCTTCCCCTTCTTCCTCTTCCGCACTTCCTGCTGCTCAGCGCCTACCTGCCTCCACCCGTGACCGACCGTGTCCCACCCTGCCAACTCAGCCGACCAATGGAGATAAAGACTGCGTTTCATATGAGGACTACATCGCTCATCAGCAGCTGCTCCTTACACAGGGAGGCACGGGGTTAGCTCCCAAGGTCTACCCGAAAATTTACACAGATATACACACACACACACACTCGCACGTGGACGGGAAAGTGCATCAACATCAGCACATTCACTACCAGTGTTAGCAGTGCGGAGGCTGGTAGCAAGCTGTGCCATTTTCAACTTGTACAGACTCACAACAAACTGCCAAAAGCAAAAGGATAACCACATTTCTACAGTGTATGGAGAGATAAGGGAACACACAATATGTCCTCAATGTGCTGCAGCCACTTGTGAACTTTTTACCCAGCAATGAAGAATGTACAAATACAATATAAAGACTTATTTCAAGCAATTTTTCTATTTGCATATCAAGCTCAAAGTAACAACAAACTTATTACTGTTCATTATGGTACACTAAAAGCCCTCAGAATTAGCAAAAGAAGCAGCTGTGATTCTGTCCTTCAAATACATGTGTATATAGCAGATTTTAATTATAGCGCATCTAGCCTGCAGTTTCATCTTGGCTCATTTTTAAGGAATAATACTGTATAACACGTGTAAAATAATAGCTTAATTTCAGAGTGCATATCTCAGGCAGACTTCTAACCGAGCCATAAGAACCACAGAACAAGACAAGCTTCACTAAATCTACACCCAGAAAGAGATGAGGGCCAACAGCCGCTCTGTACAGCTGCTGCACGGACACTGGGTGGAAAAAGAGGAGATGTCAGAATGAGTTACTGAGCAGGGGAGAGTCAGCACTCCCTTAGCAGATCCATTTCAGAAGCAGAAATGAAATAATTTTAATATTTTTATTTTTTTTTTTACTACAATTTTCCATGTTTAGTGACTTGACTGAGTGGTAGTCTCTTCTGGAGGTGGCACATCCCAGCTGACGTGAGAACAAAGGATTCTGGACATTTGAGGACTACAAGTTCTCACCTCGCGTCAGCCGTTTAACCTCCTCAGCCCGGAGCGCAAAGGGACCGTGCAGCGGTGAATACGGTGCCTCGGAAACAATTGCTTCCAGATTTTACAGATTGTTCTTGGATCGGTCACATATTTCTGTTCATCTATTCAGAGATTTAAGGGAGACTTCATCTTTAACTTTGTAACATAAAGATGGGACGTAAGGCCCTTTGGTGCTGCTCACATTGTACCTGCTTTTTCTATATAGGCCAGGAAATGTTTATGGTCCCTTATATAAAAGAAGAAAGCGTGCAAGATTTAAATATATGGCTAATTTAGTGTACTTTTCATATTTTAAAATCGTGGCACTCCCAATTTAAAAAATTTGTGTCGTTATATAAAAAACATACATACAGATATATTTTCTAACATGTATTCCCATGCCATCATTTTGTTAAATCTTCACATTTCAAAGTGCCAAATTATTTTTACCAATGTAATAAATGTACAGAACTATTATTTTTTATTGTAAATAGCATACCTCAGTACAGTAGTTTGTTGTGCTTTACTTGTTTGTTTTTTCAGTGCTCTTTGTCTTTGCTTTTCTGTCTTTGTTGGTGTCAAATCTTCTTTGTGACTCTGGACTTCTTCTTTCGCAGTTCTCCAGGTGTCCATGTGGATTTTCCTGTGTGCGCTCATAGGTCTGACCACTATTTAATAACTGTGTAAAATAATACGCCAAGATAAGATTACGGCCTCAGCTGTTTAGCATTAAAGCACACTTCATATTGAAAACGTGTTGACTGTGTCCAGAGATGTAAGCACTAGGATGTACCATGTGTAAATGCTGTTGGTGAGGTCATAGGTTATATTTCTGAAATCTACATCTGGTCCACATGTTGTAATGGTGAATCTAAAATGTGTTTGAATCATCATTGATCCAAGTAATACTAATATATTCAGCCTATTTTTAATGATAATCCTATTGAAAAAAAAAAAATTGTGGATTTAGTTACTGACAACTAATCCATCACAGACAAGAGGAACCTACAGTGAACTTTCTATCCTTATCTATCTATAGACACTTACTTTAACACTCTGCAGCATAAACAGTTGTCTTGTCTTCATGTATTATGTCAGACATGTTCACAACAGCTGGAATATGTTCTTCTGTTCTAACAATTGGGTTTGTTTCATATTCCAGTTTATGCCACTGTTTTCCTTGTACAGATATTTCTCTTGTTCATTCATTTCATGTGTAAAACCAATTTGTGTGTTAAAGCTGAAGGACTGCCATTCACAGACTGTTTAGACAGTTTTGTGCACAGTTTCTGTACCACTGCTATGAAAATGGTGTGAGAGTAGTTCATAGTAGCCTATGAGTGTTTTGGACCATACTGTTAACTTTGGCATCATTAGCCCATTTTATTTTCAAACAAATGTACAATGTCTGTCTAATTTATTCGTTCATATACCTGGGCATTATACTGCATGTGTTCATGTTGTTTTATAGTCAGAATGTAAGCTATGTAACAAATACCATGTCAATGTAAGATACTGTATTTATACATGCTAAATATACAAAAATTTATCAATTTAATCTTTGTTTTGACAATCTTGTACAGTCTATTGTCATTTAGGTTATAATTTGGTTTCTCTCAAGTGTAATCCTGTTACTGGTGTCATTAAAAAGTTACAACTGTGCTCTTTTATCTGTGTTATCCTCGATTATGAATACTTTACAAAAGCAATAGTTCTAAATTCTTCTAGTCCTTCAATTGTAAGAGCAGTATTTTGTCTGTCAGTGTGTCTATGTGGGGAGTTGACAGATGGACATGCGTTGCGTGCAGAATCAGGGTGTGAAGGCCTGTTGTCTGTCTCTCTGACTCACTGGACGAAGATGATGATGAAAGAAAAAGGAGCATGAGGCATCTTCAAGGGGTAGAGGTGACAAAAGGTCAGGCTATAGGTCTTTGGGGTCCTGATAAGCTCTCATTTCTATCACAAGTCTGGTCAACACACTATCAAGTTTTCTGCCTGCAATACTGTTTTCTGGTTTAAGCAGGCTGTGTAAATACATAGGCCCCTCAAAAGTAAAATGTCCTTTTCTGAGTACTGGAGACATTTTATGCCACACTCTGGAAGATTATAACCAAAGGAAAACAATTTCTTCCTGTTTGTCCAAAAATATAGACCATGTCATCAATAAAATGCAGATCCGGTTTTGCTTGTGTACCCTCAAGAAGCATCTCGTGTACTGTATGTATGTTCCGTTACTTGGACTGTAAGTTTTGTGGACATGCACTTTTAGATCAATTAGTGACCCTGAGTTCCCTACATTGAATGAAAAAGTCATGTGTGCCTACATGTGTCCACCTGCCTGTCTAAAATGCACCCCATCTAAAACACGTAACAGAATCCGTTTCATCTTACATGTACGTTAAATGTGGGTTAGATCTGTTAGCTCTGCTACAGTACAAAGCTAAATTGCACACAGCACTTTGATGGACAAGAAGGTCAAAGTGATTTCAAGCAAAGATTCAGAGGCAGAATTACTCCCAGGCTTTTGCCATTTTGAAATGATTGCAAAACCATCAGACCTCAATAGCTCTGACCTGCAACAGGGAATTTGCCAAGACCTTCAATCCCAGAGGTTTTCAACGAATCTGCCTAGCTTCACTTCCTATAAACAAACACAAGAATTTAATTATACTTGAAAAGAATGCTGGGGAAGATTACGTTTTGCTAGGATGTGATAAGAAACTGAAATCATGTTGGTCTTGTAAAAAGAATAAAATAAAATACAAGTCAAAATGTGCAACTTTCTTGGCGTGGTGGTTTGCATCCTTGACATCATCTCTCATTCTCATCTTATCAGGAGATGAGCTTTTTCTTGCTTTTTGTGTAACAATGTTTTATTGTGAATTTGATTTGAGGTCAGAAGCAGCGTGGGAGGAGAACATTGTGATGAACAAACTGAAGATGGAGAGACTAAAAAAGAGGAGGAGCTGATGACAGATTAGGCACATCTACAGCATGTCATCATGAGGAGAATCCAGGACAGTTAGAAGGTACAGTATATTTTTTGTTATGTTTCAAAGCCTGGCAGGTGAAGTGTCTTGCCTAACAACACAACACAACAACAGGATAGAACATTTGAAGTGGCTATTAAACACATTTTTTCTTAAAAGATGGTTACTCAAGTACCTTTGTCAGCCTCAAAATGTATTAAAACTAAATCTTGAATTTGCTGTTCATTGGTTTCATGGATTTCCTGCCAGGTGTCATAGGTGCCATTTTGAGTACATTTCAACTTTCAGTGACAGAATATTTGATTATGAAGTTTTTGTCTTCCATCTCTATTGCCCCAACATAGATCCGGATTAGCATGTGAGAAGAGCAGGGCATGTGATTCCGAGACATACCAGTCACAACTGTTTTGTTTGATGTTAATTTGTTAGAACTACTTTAAGTTAAAGCACCATCATATACCTTTTTGGATGATTTAATGAAAACTTCATCTTAATTGCCAATGATAGCACAGTAACAGCATTTTTCCCCTCAAAATGTGCAGCCATAGACAGGTGAAAGTCTGGTTATGGTAAAGTCAGTTGATGTTTGAAACATTTAATAAACAATTTAATAAAAATATTTCATAACTTTCCATCACATCAAAAATTAGCATTAACATAGAAAACCTGCCTCTTTCAAAAACATTTAAACTACTGCTAATGAAATTTCTTGCACTGAAATCTCAGTAGTAACTTACCTGTAGAACTGTAAAAGTAAAAAAAAAATAAAAAAATGCTGGTTTTGAGCCTTGATTGTTGTTTAAGTGTGTACACTGCAGTGTCTATCAAGAAATTAGCTGTCCAAAGTCCATGGTTTTCACAAATAATATGCAGATTTGTCACATCACCACGGAGATACCATATCAAACTTGCCAACAGTCTGAAGATGCAAATGAGAAAAATAGGTTTATTATTTTTAAAATCATGTGCAGTTTTTTGGAGGTTAGAGGTCGGAGTTTCGACTTGTACGACGAATCTAATGTTCTACGCTTTCGTCATTTTTACTCAGAAAGTCTGTTTGTTGAATGTTAAAAACACGACAGTTAAAATATTGATTGTACTTGTGTTATTTTCCCTTTAGTTCAGGAGAGCCTGGCCTATGCTTCAGTGGCCAAATGTGGCCCTCAGACCAATTTTTGTTGGCCCTTAGGCCTGCTGCTGAAAGGGCCCGTATGAACATAGGCAATACTTTTAACTGTGTTTCTACCACTACAACAATAACATCATTATATAACAGCATTATGATACAGTCCTAAAATTAATTTTTCAAGTGTTATTAAAAATATGATGGCTTTGTCAAAGCTGTGTTAAAAACACCCATTTCAAAGACTCCCAGTGTTGACATCACTCTGTGGCCCTCTGCTTCATATATGTTTGGACATCCCTGAGTTAAAACCATATGATACCATATTTCACTGCATGGAGACAGATATGTTTTATGTCATACTGTGGAATCATTATTACTGTGGAGTATTATAGTAAGAAAATTGCATTTTCATGGAGACAAGTAAGTTGGCCAACTAAGAGTGAGGTTAGTGAAGATGCAAGCCCGCTCACAGTCACAGTAAGAATGAACATGCTAGCATGAAAAAAACATTCTACTTTCTTCTATTTTTAAATAAAAAGTTACACGGAGGGGCTTTAAATCAGGAAACTTCCCATACTTTTTCTTCTCTATACATTTTGATTGTATATAGCCCAATCCTGGTGTGTCTATAGAGAAGATTCTTGGGCGTGAGTCAACAGCAGCTGCGGTGGGTGTTGATGAGAAGCCGTCCAAAGAGGCTTTTTACTGGCATTTAGCTTTAGACTGTGAAAGCCTGCTCAGGTGAATGGAGTCAGTGACCATGAAGAGCTCTTACACACACACACACACACACACACACACACACACACGCACACACACACACACACACAGTAAAGTACACACACACCTGGGCAAGACAACACCACCCCAAACCAGCCTGACGCACTAGGTAAAAGAGCGGCTATAGATCAACATAGCGATGCATAGTAGAGTTTTGTGTGCACAGATGCATTTTTTGAAAGGAATAAATGTAGGAATCGCACGCAGAGACCGAAACACCTGGCTGGCACTGAATCCCTCTTGTGTTTGCATAGCTCTCCTGGTCCGCTCATCCTCTGCGTAGCCACAAAAGCCGCCATTAAAGCTAAGAAAACAAAATAACACAAAACCAGGCTGAACAAGAGACTTCCATCCTGTGTCCGCCCTCCCGCCCTTTCTCTCTTTCTGCATCGAACTGAAGCAAATGTTTACCGACTCTTTTTTTAAAAAGAAAGGGATGCCAAGGCCTTTAAAGACTACCACAGAGCCGTGACAAAGGCTTACTAATCTGGTTGTTGTCTTTCTCTGCCCCTACATCCTGCAAAGTGTGTGCAATAGAGTGAGCAGAGGAAGAAAGTTATAGTCCAATTGTCCAGGGAGGTAGTAAAATGTTTGTCTGGGTAAAGAAGCACTGATAAGGAAGTTGGGGAGTATTTCCAATGTCATCACTCAAGTATGAGACAGATGGAGAGAGCCGGGCCTCTTCAAAGCATTGCGCCCAGCCTGCCTTCACATGTGGGATGCTTTTGTGTGTTTGGAGAATACGAGTTCCTGGCTGTCACACATGCTCACCTGCTCCTCTTTGACTGAAAACCTCCCCTATTGATTCATTCATTCATTGCTTTTTCCTGTGCTTTAAAGATACCGCCACATACTCATCAGTTTGTGGGTATCCTCCGTAGACAATTAGTAGATGAGAAGAGCACAGTTTGTTTTGTGGTGCCGATGTGCACAGAGACTTTTGGGACTGTAGATGTCACTGAGTCCTCTGCTAACAATGGGCAATGCACACTGCAGATATGAGTATGTAGTACGCAGGTATGTGAGGTGGAACATTTAGATTTACATGTCTAGTGTGGGCATAGTATTTCAGACTTTTATATACAGAGCCATTTCTTACTGGAATAAGCTGCCTCAAGAAATGATGCTGCTACACAATCATCTTCCTTAAAAAAATACATCTCAAGAAATCAATACTAATCCAACTATGATGAACTCATGTATGTGGTTTCTGCCTATTCCATTCATGATAGAAGTAGCTGTTATGTATTATTATGTATTATGTTATATGATTTATTTTTTATGTACAATGTGTTTTTGTGTAATTTTATGATGTACCTCAGGAAGAGTAGTGTGTGCAATTGCAGACTAATGTGGATCCTTAAATAATAAAGAAAAAATAAACAAAGGTGCAAAATGTGTAACCTTTGTTGGAAAGACCACCACCTGCTTGTTTGGTATGCTCTCCACCATTGTTTCCCAAAAACTGGGTTGTGACCCATAAGTGGGTCGCAAGATATTTTTTTGGGGTCACCTTGTCTTGATCTGCATGTAGGTTGAAATGTTAAGATATGTTTTGTATAATTTCTAATGTTTTTGTTATTATTTTATTGACTATTTTGTTCCAGTATTGCTGGTTCAATTACTGTTTTTCATTGGTTAAAACATGAGTAATACAAATTGTTCAGAGAGACACAATCACTCAGTCAGCAATAAAATATCCTCATTAATGTTCAAAAATGGTCAAATCCACCTTTATTTTGTGATTTACAAATAATGTCTATTGACTTGGGTCACGAAGTTTTGTGACTTTGGGTCCCCAGAAAAAAGTTTGGGAAACACTGCTCTACACTGTATGGCACTGATCTTGTCTACCTTCATGGAGACAAGCTAGTAACCCCACCAGGCCAAGCTGCAGGTCATCTGTGGAGAGGCAATATCACTCACAAATAGAACGCATGCAATTCAGTATATTTTACCAATAAAATGTATAACTGAATACATGCAAGGTTTAATTCCATATTGTGGAATGTTCCAGGCAAAGTAGTAACATATCTCACAAGCAGGTTGCATCCACGTTAAGGGAAAAGTCATCATAGATCATTTTTGACCCCTATCTAGAATACTTCTAGCATTATTTTTATAACTTAAGTCATTGTATTTTTTAGTTGTAAAAAATACAATAGACTTGTGTTTTTATTGCAATGTGGTGTTAATTTTTCTTTTCAAATTACTTACCAAGATTACCAATTTGTTTTAACATTAAGGATGCCAAGAAATGTCAGTTATTGTGATGTCTGCTTTCATGTGAAGCATTTTTGTTCCCACTGGTTACTGAATCACTCAGCAAGCCAACTAATTGTGCTTCCTCACTTCTGTGTTAACATCGCTTTCCCAAAAACATGGAAATGTCATTAGGCAAAACCTGCTCAAACTACAGAGATTTATTGGCCCAGTGGGGGTCACAACTTTAGGTTAATGACTAACACACTGAAAGTAGATTTACAGATATGTGCTGGTTTTAAAGTGCATCGTAATTGTTATGCTTTATTGTGTGTGCTTTCGTACTCTTAATTTACATGTTTAACAGAAAAAAGTGGAGAAGGTCATAGGTAACAGTCTCTAGACCTCAACTTGAAGCCTGCAGCACTCCTAAGGAAGACAAATAACTCTGGTGTGAAATCATTTACTTCGTGTCGTGTCTTGCCCAAAGGGGATTACACTTACTGCTCCAAAGGTACAAGACTGACAAAGTGTAAAATCTGGATCAGATTAAGGAACGTACACACACACACACACACACACACACACAAAGATGGAGATGAAGAAGGAAAATTAAGGACAGGGGAGGGTACTGACAAGCTGTGGGAACACGCTGCTGAATAATTACCAGTGACATCAGAATAGTTTTCTTTAGCTCTGTGAAGTGGCAGGCCTCATTTGTACAGCCCGAAGCCGCGGCCCGAGTGTGACAGAAAGTGAGTGTCCATGGGGTAAAGTCAATAGACATGACTGTGCAGTGTGGATTATTGTGAAATGTTTGCTCTGTTTGCATAATCACACCCAAAGCAGACAGTGTGCCTTGGTAATTTTCACTGGACATTATTATAATTTAGTCCTCTCCTTTTCAATGTGTGACACTATGACAGCCTAGTCTGCCCCAGGGAACCATTTCTCTCTAAGTGGACGCTTCAAAAACAGGAAACAACTTTAAATCCTGCTGGAGTGCAAAGAAGGATCAGGCCTACTGGCTCTGTACAATACCCCTGCCCCTCATCCGCACTGCCCCCAGAACACACACACAGTCACACCTGAGCCCCTTTCAATAGACACAGTTGAGCATGCTGACAACAGGGGACAATAGAGGCAAAATGCTGCTTGACAAAAAGAGAATCTACCTGTCTGAACACATCAGGCTGGCCCGCCACCCGCCTCTGCACATCAGCCCTGCGCCAGGATGACTTCAGCTGATATCAGGTTCTCATACAGACACTCGCAGCCTTACGTACAACTGTCGGCTAAAAACGCACATCTACATTGTTGCCTAGAGGGTCTTTACTAGAAGACTGATTAAGGACTGTCTGTATCAACACATATAACATAATAATAAGTGAAAAAAATACAATAATCAAATCAAACTGTAAAATAAGATTTGACACAAAACACAATTAACATTTATTACCACAAATACAGAATAAGATTAAGGTCCAAAATTATTAAAAAGAGAAGATTGCTGAACAATGTGCAGTTGTTATGGTGGAAGGTTAACCAGAGAGGACATAGAAGGATGCCTGAAACTGGTTGGCGGTTTGAAGATGGGGGACTTCAATCCTGAACTGAATGAAATTTCAGGGGTGATTGGTGCTGTCTGAAAATGACTGAAAAAACAACAACTGTGAGCCTTAAATGTATGAACACAGCGTAAAGCAATATTCTTAAGGACTATTGTAAAAAAAAAATTAATAAATTGATTCACAGAAGCATTTATAAAAAAATATATATAGATGTGTTTTGTAATTCCACAAACCTAACTGAGGCTGAGCTGGCAGAATGGTTGGCCAACCTGTTTTGATTGAAGATTTTGTGGGGTATTGTTCCTGAGTAATAATAATAAAAAATGCGATAACATGGTGATGGCATAGAATTGTGTCAGTATACCATTATTAATGCAACAAACGGAGATGCCCATACCCATGCGTCCTTCCTGCGAAGGGCTAGTTAAGGACAGTCTTGAAGTGGAGTTGCTTGGCTGAAATGAAAACAGTAGTTATATTTGTGTTTTTCTGTCAGAACACAATGCATGAAATAAATCTACTACAGGGATTTAAATTATATAATATTTGCATAATAATATTAAAGATGGGACAGCAGCTGGCAGAGCTTTTTTTCTTTTATTTACTTATTGTGCAGTCAAAATATAGCAGCTTAGCTTGTCACAGGTTCCACATTTACTTCTACATATAATAACTTACTTTTCTGAACAAACTTGTTTCATCCACATCCATGTTTTTAGTCCTGTTGATAAACAAAATGCAATACATGTAGTATATAGCACATTTTATATATTTTATGTTCCTTATGTCAACTTCTCGATTGATCTAAATATACATATATGACAGCTATTACAGTTTTACAGTGTCTAATGCTACTCTGTGTACTTATACTAAAATATATGAAGTCATAGATGCCAAAACAATGTTTGCAATATAAAATCGATACTGTGCTAGGAAACCCAATAGGGATTCCTCACTAAAGCCAAGCAAAGCCTGGCTTTTCAGGTGTGTGTATAGACAGTTCCAGGGCATGGCAAAGCTATACAGCAGCTAAAGCTAACATAAGACATTGGGCTGAACCCAGGATAAAGCTTGTTTGTACAGTGCAATACCTTCAACACACACTCTCACTATTATGAGGTTTGGGGCATGAAGGAGGCTCAAGAGGGGCCACATAAAGGAACAAGGAACCACACAAGACAGAAAAGTGACAATCTGAGTATACAAAAGTACATTTTTTACTCACAAAATGGCAGTCGAGGAGTGAACTGAAAAACTCAGGGGAGAACTGAAGGGGATGTGCATGACTGCGAGTAATCAGAACAACAATCACTATCAACAAGTCAAATCAATGAGCACATTTGGATTATTTCAGGAATTGATTAACTACCAGGCTGATTTCCTTGAGGAGTACGAGAACTGTGGTTCTTTTGAGCAACTGAAGCTTTGGTACTAAGACAAGACAAGAGTTTTAACTGACATAAATATAAAGTAAGAATAAACATAAAATACTGGTGGTATTTTATGAGGTGTCATAGTATTGTAAAGTGCTATTTTCGTACTGTATTATAGCTTTCATCTTTAGTGTGTTGTGCAGAGGAGGAGCCCCTGCATAAAAACAGTGGAACCCTTCTCTGCTTTATTTTAGTAAGAGACAAGTGGGTCAAGAGTGACACCTAGTGTATGATAAGGTTAAACATCTGGAGCTGCTTGTATTTTTAGTAACTTCCTTTCATAGTAGTGTTCTTTACTAAAACAGTCTCTTGGTTAGGCAACAACATTACCTCTGATGTTGAAATGAGTTTTCCAACTTTTTGATGTAGGCACTCTGTTCATTTTGTTTCCTTTGAAAAATAAATACAATGTTTATGTATAAAATACAAAAATACAAATGTTTTATTTTATATATAAGTAAAAGAATAGTTAAATGATAAGAATAAACATACTTCATCATTTGTTGCATTTCTTGTTTCATCTTGACTAAAGTCTGTTCAAGTTTTTCATTCTAAAATGAAATGAATAAACTATTTTTTTTATCTACATATACATATAGATATTAAGAAAAAACAAAACATTTGGGTTAAATAAAACTCTTGCCTTTTGCTGGTAATATGCTAGTAGCCTCTTTTGATGTCTTGCTTGGAACATTATTACCTACAAAATGAGAGGAGCATAAAATACCAAGTAGACGATAAAAGCATTTAATTTAGATATATAATTCTTGGCAATAACCTTGCTGATTTCTGTGAAGTGCTTGCTGGCAACAGAATTGATATCAGAAAACAGTGCTTTCACCTCAGAGCTGCTCTGAAAAAAGGTCAGCATTCAAATTTCAGTAAAGTGGTAGATTGTGAACTATCTACCATTGTACCAATGTAGAGCTCATGAGCTCTACACAGTCAGAGCTAATGAAAAAGTAACTCTTTACATAATGCATTTGAATGTATAATTAGAGCAACTTTATTTCCAAATAAACAATTATGCAAGTTAATATATAATGTGTAAACAACTGCCAATTTGTGCCCATTGTTTGTGAAAATACCACTTTCAGGGCTAATTTAGAAGGTCAGTTTTAGGTTTTTTGTACCTCTCACATTAGTAAGCACAAGTTACTTTTCATTGCCCTTGTTTAATTTGCTGTTTCAATCTCTATAAAGAAGAATTAAAAATAATACAGATAATGATGTGATCCTTACCTTGTCAGAAAGAGGGGATACTTGGCATTTTGCACTGCATATTAGACAAGTTCCTTGGGTACCTAAAGAAGGGGAACATTTCTATAATATCAGTTACTATCCATCAGTATTGTGTATCCAATTCCTAATAAATAATGTCTGCAACAACTAAATCTCAGTTTACTGAAGGTTATTATAACCAGGTTAAATTAAATTATGAATTACTGATGCAATAACCCCAAAGTCCAATAGATGTCCCTCTTTGGTCACGTGTTTTCTTTAAGTTAAAAGTTTAATTCTTATTTGAGAAGTTAGTTCCGCTATATCGTCATGTGCATACAATTTTTACCTTTCTGAAAACAAACACTGCATATAAGATGTCCACATGTTGTTACGGCGAGTTTGCGGTCAGAGCCTGGAGGGTGGAAACAGAAATTGCAACAGATCCAGAAAGACATCTGCTCACCTGCAATGTAAAATCAGAAAAGTGCCACTGCTGTTATGTCAAGAAAATCATCCTGACCTCATCGTGAAGGTAATGTTAGAGTTTTTAACCTGAAACTCATTTCAAATTTCACATTTTATTTTTAAATTAGCCCAAGCTGTTCTTGGGCAACCGCGAGTCTGGGGGGATTTTTGTTCGTCGCTAATATTTATAACAAATTAATTTAGCTAACATGTGCTAACAGCTAGGTCGTCAAAAACAAAGGCGTTATTCTTTCAGTTGGTGAGATAAAATCTCATCGTTTTCAAGTTATAATCAGCATATTTTTATTATTAACTTGATTATATTGCTTACCTGATCTCACCTATAACCTTTAGCTAACGAGACCACAGGCACGCACCAGGACGTCGCCTGTAGCTCTGGTCCTGATCTCGCTTCAGTAAAGAAATACCGCCACATTTTTATATGTGTGACTTTACCACAAGAAACAAATAACAAGACCCAAAACGGAAATAAACACGCTTCCTACAGCCAGGCTAAAACCAAACTTAAAATACACATTAAATGTTCAAACAACTTTATTACATGTTATAGCACATATTAAACCAGCTTCTTTGCGATGAAGAAATCTTTGAGTTTTTTCATCTGCCAGAAGCCCACTGCCAGCAGGACAGACGTCTGGACCACTGCCCACCACAAGACTTTGCCATTGGTGTCCTCACTAATCTGGCGAAAAGTCTCTTCTTTCTCCTAAAGCACAGGTTTAAAAGAGAGAAAAATAATAGTTTCACAGCAACAATTTCATTCTAAAGTTTGCAGATAAAATAGAAAAATCATGCTACCCGCTGGTATTCCTGCTGCTTGGTGATGTACACCATTTGATCTCTCAGGTGACTGAGACTGTTTTCCAGAATTTCCATATTGTCTTTTGTTTTGTCTGTGTTTCTGTCAATTGAGTGTTCACCCATCTGAATATCCAAGTGTAGCTTCTGCACATTAAGTACAACATTACACATTTGACATGTACATATTTACCATCTTTTCATGAAACTGCAAAGCTCACCAGCCGCTCTCCAGCAAATACAGAAAACCTGGTTGAGTTGGTTTGAAAGCACAGGTAATGCTGGCCAGAATCATGTGAAGTGAATGTGAATTTCCCAAATTTACTGTATCGTTTGGACATCACAACCTAAAAAAGAGAGTGAACTCTATATTATTGTTATTTTTATTATTATTTTTTTTTCTCATCAAGGGCATTGATGCAAAACAGTCAGATGAAAATTCTTTTCCTGTCACAACCAGTGAAATTAGGGTACAGTGTATTACACTGACATGTGCATTTGATTTGATCCTGCCACTGATTAAAAGACAAAAGCTTAGTTTAAAGTTGCATTTCGGGTGGATAGTCTGTCTCCATCACCATGGAGATCTTGATGCTCTGCCTGGAATTTTTCACAGTGTGATATGAGACTTATCTATGTCTATCTATCTTTTTATGGAGACAAGCTAATTTACAGGTTCAGTCTATGGAGAAATGGGCCCCCTTACAGTAGAGTGTATATTTTTCAAGGTATTGTTTTATTGTAAAAAAAAAATATAATTTTAATTACATAATAGGCCATGCTACATTCCAGGGAAAGCGATCTCCCTACCGTCTCTCCACGGACACAACAGATGCTGGACTCGTACCAGAACATGTTTACATAGTGCATAGTGCCTTTAACAGTACAATTGTCATTGCACAAAACACCAAAAGTGTATAAAAGAAAGAACTTGAGAATGAAAAGCATGTTCACTACCTCAAAGTTTGGATCTTTGACTGTCACAGTTACACCAAGGTGAGGAGAATGGCTCAACGCCTTCACATCCCAAGGCTCCAACAAGAAATAACCTTAAGGTACAATTTTCAAAGAATAATCACTAATTATATTATTTCATTATTTAGCGTCAGCTAGTTTTCACAAACTATATTCATACAAGTTTCTGTTTACAGGTTAACATGATCTCAACTGGACCTACCAGTCACAAGCATGTCTTCAGGAAATTCATCGATGATACATTTTTCCTCCTGCTCTCCAAGATCAAAATACATGGATGCTGCTAGCATCAGGTAACACAGAACAAGAAAGCTAGAACATTGAAAATCCATATTCTTCGTTCACACAAAGCTATGAGGCAGTATATAAAAAATATTTAAGGAGGTGTGCAGTAGTACTACAGAGAGTTGTGAGAATGTATGAGAAGTAAGCAGGTGCTGCAAACTGTGATAAGTCACTGAGTTGGTGTGCTGACTGGTTTATCTGAAGGCTGACGTAAAACTGAAAAAAAATGTGGATTTCTTGTAATGTCAGAAGATTCAACTCATAAAAGTGAGATGGTGACTGACATGAAAGATGTTGTTTAAGTGTTATATAGCAGTAGCAGTGTATTATTGACAACTTTTCTGATTCAATAGAATAACCAAAATATTTGAATTTTGTGATTATCTTGCAGTAAAGACATAGTATGATATAGAATGTGAACAAAATATTATAATATATATAAAACATCCTGGTAGCATTTCAATAATACTGATTGATTGATTTTAGGTTAAAAATCCCTTTTCAGTGACATATCAATGTGTTTCGACCTTTATGTGGTTTTCATTAGAATTTAATTTGATTTGATTTATTTATTTATTTGATTGGGACAGAGCATGTTAATGAACAAACATGACAACATGAATGTAAACACACCGGATTGTAGCCTAAGGCTAATTTCCATCCGTTGTCCCAAGGGCTGGGGTCACAGGGGGCCAGACACTAAAATATTGCACACTCCACTCATTATATAGTTCCATTCACTGCACAGTTCCCATTCATTGCACAGTTCCCATTCATTGCACAGTTCCCATTATTGCACAGTTCCCATTATTACACAGTTCCCATACATTGCACAGTTCCCATTCATTGCACAGTTCCCATTATTGCACAGTTCCCATTATTACACAGTTCCCATACATTGCACAGTTCCCATTCATTGCACATAGAAAAACAATTAAAATCACAGTGCAGTTATACATGTGTACATGTTTGATTTGACCATAACCAAGTTTTTGTTTGAGCTTTAAAAGAGCTGTATGTGGGACATTCTTTCAGGGTCAGTGGAAGACTGTTCCACAGATTTCCACCTTGTACAGATAAAACATTCTGACCAAAGGTGGTCCGTCTCTGGGGTATGACCAAGTCACCCCTGGTGGTGGCTCGTGTGGTTCTTATTGAAATGTCTTTACGTTTAATGTAATTATTTAATGGTGGTGGTGCCAGGGAGTGTAGAACGTTATAAATTAGACAAGTCCTTTTGAGTTTGACCATGTTGCTAAAATCTAGAAGCCTGTGCTTTTTCAGTATGTGACAGTGGTGGTGGGAAATGGGTTTTTTGTCAAGTATTTTTAGACTTCTTTTATAGAGGTTTTCAATGGTTTTAAGTGTTGTGGGGCAGGCAAGAGACCAAGTAGTTAAGCAGTAATCGATGTGAGAGATAATCATTGAATAGAAATAAGTTTTTGCAGTTATTCCTGATATGACGGAAGTTCTGAATGTTAAACTGGATAACCTGGGATACTTTTTTAACATGACTTTTGAAGGATAGTGTTGAATCTAGAATTGGCAATGACTATTGTGTAATATAAGTCAGTGAGCATATTATAATTGCCTTGTAAAACTGTTGTATGTGTTTTTTTATAACTTGGTACATTATTCTTTCACTATTTTCTCAACTCTGATGTTATGAGTGGCTACTTTGGTTTAGACACATCCACTAAGAGCTACTCAATGGCTCTGCTTTATAACTCCATCTCTTAGCTCATAGGACATATTGGAGTTATGTCAAAATGAGTTTGATGGGATGAGATCATTTCATAAAGTGAACTCTGAAGTGAAGTCACATTTCGCATCTGCAATAGTTGTCACTCCTTAATGTGAATATCAGAAATATTAAATGTCTTTTTGGTTTCATATGGTTTAAATGGACTTTCAATATGTCTTGCACTTGTAGCTAAATTAACAATAGTGCAATAATTGTCATTTGCAATCACTTTACAATACAGTAGTCAACTAGAATTGAAAAAGGCAAATTGTAAGTGATGCTCACATAATCACATTTGTATTTTCTGTTATCTTGTTTGAAAAACTTAAATAACAGAAAGAGTATTTCAGAAAAGTAAGCAATACCCAAGAGACAGCCTGATCCCACTGAATAAACTAATATTTTTATACGTTAGGCACTTACTGGCGGCACGGTGGCTGAGTGGCTAGCACTCATGCCTCACAGCAAGAAGGGCCTTTCTGTGTGGAGTTTGCATGTTTCTCCCCGTGTCTGGATGGGTTTCCTCCGGGCGCTCCGGTTTCCCCCATCAACCCAAAACATGCTACATGGTGAGTTAAATACAGTCAATTCAATCATTGTGTCCTTAGGCAAGACACTTCACCCCCATTGCCTAGTATGAAAGTGGTGTGTGTGTGTGTGAGTGATGGTGGTGGTCGGAGGGACCGATGGCCCCGAGTGGCATGGCAGCTGCGCCTCTGTCAGTGTGCCCTAGGGCAACTGTGGCTACAATAGTAGCTTACCATTACCAGGGTATAGAGTGAATCAATAATGCTGTATGAATAATGCTGTGTAAAGCATCTTTGGGGACAGAAAATGTCTGTGAGTGCTATATAAATAAAGACTTACTTCCTTGCTTACTTGCTGGTCATGATGTAAATCAAAAGCTGTGGGATAGTTTTAAATAGTTGGTGATCAGCTTTATCCATTTTATAGCCCACACCTCATCACAGCAAATCCTACCCAACATGGGGACTACAGAAAGGGTCAGGAAGTTGACTATGGTTTCTTTGCACTCCGTAAATCATTTAGTTTCAACATCAGAAGAACTTCAGAGCTAACGTCTAATGCATTCTCTTCTATCTACTAGAGTGTAGGTGCAGGTGTCATTTCAGCTTTTATTAGGGACTGTATTAACATAAACAGAGAACTATTCACAATATTTCAGTTTTTTACATTTTTATTATTTACAAACATGTTAACTTCAGTTGAATTTTAATGTATTCGAAATAAGACTGTACACAACAGGTAAAATCCTGTCATTAATATATATTTTGGCATTTTGCCTTTTGGTGAAGAAAGACAAAAAGTAGAACAGCTTACTTACATTAACAAGTTTTAACATACAACTAATTAAACTGTGTATTAAAAGTTACAGGGTCGAAGAAACCTTTAGCTGGGCTTCTTGGCAGTGTTCTGTGCCACTCTTGAATTTCCAACCATGTATAATTTAGAAATTTGAAGAGATGTCTAATAGCAGTTTTGCTACACTACATCTTTCAGAATTTAGCATCACATCTCCATTAGTCAGTGTATCTCTCTATGAGGCAAGACTTGTGACCCTGGATCAGTAGTCACTGTTTGAGATTTATTCTACATTCAAATAGCTAACAGACCTTTTACTGTTGCCTTGTCTTTGTCTTTTTCGTCCTCTCCTGGACTTTCGGTCCTTCTTTTTTCTCCTGACTTTCCTCTCCTTACTTTCCCCCTTTTCCTGGCTTAGTCATAAGCAGTTATCTGGGGAACATTTTCTCTCCTCTTCCAGCAGAGGGCAGGCTGCTCCATTGTTGGCTGGGTGCATAAGGACGTAGCGAGTGCGGTGTCGCACACCTGATTCTCCACACTTGCCTTTACACAAGCCCCAGGGAGACCACACTGACACCTCGCAGTCCAATGGAGTATCTGTAAATAAATAAATGATCAGCCTCAGGCATATTTCCATGCTCCATTCTTGTATTTAATTAATTGGTTTGTATTGACCTTTATATAAGAAACAACAGGGCTATAACCACTGAACCTGTGTAACAGTCTGCTTTTATTTCTTTGGCCAACCTGGGCCAGCTTTGCAAACAACTGATTGGTTTTGCAGGCTGAGTTGAGTAACAGAGAACAGAAGGTGGAGGCTCAGTGGATTGCCAACTAGAGGTGGAATAAGCAAGTCAAGTCTATACAAATTTTGAACTTCAGAGCAATTTTATTAAAGATCTGTATAATAATTAATGACAATATACTGACATTCTGTTATATGGTGTGGTATTACATTAGAATAAGATATATCTGAGCAGAGAGGAGCTAGGGCCTGCTAAGAGACTAAAGCAGGAAACCTGATCTGATTTTGGCCCATTCATCTGTTTGTTGATGTATGTTGTCTAGGGGACAAATTTATATTGTATCAGTTGAAAAACTTTATCACTTTGGTCAAAGATGAGATGAGAGAGATGTTAATGTTTGCCTCTTGTTGTATTGCCCTTTAAGCATGTGCTGGTGTTTTGTTTTGTTAGCATTGTATGCTTTTCCATAGTTTATGTTAAATGCCAACAATCATGTGGAAAATTCAGCATCATAATTTTTAACAGTTTAACAGTAAAACATTTGTTTTTGACAGATTCCCCCATTTTTGATTGTACCAGATGTCCCATTAGTATTTTCTGATGCTCAGAACTAATCAAAGTCTAATTGCAGCTGTAGGTAGCTTTTTCTCCAACGGTTACCAAATACTTTCATTTGAGTTATCAAAGCCCATCCAAAATACTCTTTAAGATTGAGATACTTTGTCTTCTGACTTACTTATAAGTTTCTCTTCAATTTCATTTCCAGTTGGAAGTTGGTTGGACTGGGTGGGCTCCATTGGCAGATTGATGATCTGATTGCTTTTCTTTATTTTAGTTAATGTGATTTTGGCAATAGGTGGCAGGTGCCGTAGTCGGGGATAGTAAAATGAGTTGGCGGGGTGGTTTGGAAAAGAAGATGTAATCTATTCAACAGACAAAAAGACAGGAGCATTAATTTATGGTTCAGGAAACAATGTCAGCTAGATTTGAATACAAAAGTCTAACCTCTGTGATTTTATCCTGTGGAATGGTTTCAAAATTGGGGGAAGAGAAGGTAAAGCCACTATCAGTCCCAGCATCATAGGGGTAAAGCTCCAGAGACACATTGTCCTTCCACTGGTCACCATCACACAGGCTTATGCTATCTGCACCCACAAACCAGTCTGGACTCGGAACTATGCGCACAATAAAGGACAGCTGCAAGAAAGATAGCAACAGTATGTAAATATGGCAGATTACTTACTCCTGTATCTAAAATGCAGCAAAGATGTAGAAAAGCTTACATAGGAGTGCCTGGCCACCACCTCAAACTCAGTGCTCATGTGGCCAGTTCCTCCCACAACAGCCGGCGCAGAGAGGATGCCGTAAACACTTTGGATGCGTTCTCCCGCCTCTTCCACTTCCTTCATGAGGGTCCAGGCCTCTCCCTTCTCACTGAACTCCCTCACTCCGTTGCTGGCAAAGTCATTACGCTGCCACATGTGGAAGTCAGAGCTGTGGGTTACCCCTAAAAGCAGATAAACAAAGATAGGAACCAGTTGAAGCAAGCAAAGGATTACATTGATTATAACTGTAGGATTGAATGCTTTTTTTCTTGACTTACCAACCAGGTTAGACCACTGTGCAGGGGGGCGGTACACAGGATATTGCTTGGGGAAAGCTGATTGGCTCCACTTCCCAGTAAAGGTGAGATTGTACTGGGCTGGCTCTGAAGCTGTGCACATGGGTATGTCAGTGGGGACGGGCATGGGCAGAATTCCATGGCCCAGCGTTGCCACCATCAGGATGAGGCGATAAACAGAGTAAATGATAGGATCCATAATAGAGATAGATGCAAAGTGAAGAAGAAGAAAAAGACCTAGGAGAGGGAAGACATGGAAACAACAAACAAATAATATTTCAACAATATTTCAATAATGGGATTGTAGATTAAAACAGAGAAACTTATTTTTATGCATACACTGACATTTGATGTACCATAACTATTAAACATGCAGTAGTAGCAATTCATAAATTACTCACTTGTTTGAAGCTTGATAATGAAGTAGCAGCAGAAGAAGCAGAGTGCAGCAGGTGAGGAGGGAGGAGGGCAGTGCTCCGTGAAGCTGTGTGCAACAGTGACTGCGAGGTTCCAAAAGTGCTTCGGCCTATTTATGCACTGCAGGATGCTCCTCCCTCTCATTTCTTCAACTTGGTCTTCTTGATATCTGTTCATTAGTGGATACGCCCCACCTGTCTGACCTTTGGAAACAGATCTTCCTGTCAACCCTGTTGCTTCTAAGTGGCCCGGCAACTTCTTAATGTATTTTGCAGTCTCATGTGCACAGCCAAATGTTGGGTGCACGTCAGGGTCCTGCTCTTCATCTCACATCTGAACACAGTAGCCAAGCATCTCTCAGTAGCCCAATAAAGCATCTTTGCATTACATAAACATCAGTCATTCATTTAGACACAGAACTTTTTGTCCGTAGTATGACATAATAATAAAATACAGTGTACACAAATTATGCAAACAGGGAGGATCAGGTGGGTTTCAACATTTTAGATGTGAACCTGACAGAGGTTATCAGGGCTTTTTGGTTAGACAAATTCCTCTCTACACATACATGCAGAATTGAATAGAAATGTGACATGATTTAACACAATTCATCTGCTCTACAGTGCCTCGGAACGGCAATAATCTCAGAGTTGTTTGCTTTACTGTGAGACAGATGAAACAACATGCAATTATAACAGATTTCATTAAAGCTACTTTCTGGAGATGGCATGTCACCTGTACATATCCATGGAAATAGAAATTAAAAAACATACTTTGGAACATAATCAACAGAGATAGGTTTTATGTCATACTATGGATGATTATAGCCAAAGGAATAATATTTCCATGGAAACAAGCAGGAGAAGGCCAAATAAGAGCCAGGTTTGGGCAGATGCAAGACTGTTCAGAGGAAATATGCATGTTTTATTTGTTTTTTCAGTGCAATAAAAACAATCAAAATGAAAAAAAAAAAAACAGAAACACAAAAACATGCTTTTATTTTTTTAAACATACAAAAACATTGACAATTGGTCATACAATAACAAAATATATTAAAACAGAAACTACAAAAAAGTAATATCAAACCCCAAACAAAGAAGAACAAGAACATGTGATTAATTAAAATTTAAATAAGCATTCTGCCCCTTAATTGAGATAACCATACCTTGTGAAGCAGTGAAAACATATCCTATGTTGTGTCTCAGTCAGGCAGATAATACAGAGGCAGTATGTGTTGAAGCTGGAGGTGTGGCGCTTTGCAGTCAACACCCCACACTCTCACGTGTAAACACACAAATATAGCCCACATCTAATGATTTCCACATGCTCACGTTTCTGACACACAAATGAGCACCCTTTTCCACACACAACCTATTTACCCACAGGTTATGGTTTACATAACACCTATAGACATTTCAAATAGAAGAAGCTATTTAAGATTTGCTTTTCTTTAAGTACACATATTAAAAACATGAATACATTGCATGCTTTATTATCATCTTCCTACATACAGAATTTTAGCAAGTATAAAAAATGTTCCACTTATTTCACTTCAGTGTACTGCCTAAATTTCATAAATGCTCCATCTTTCTTAAGTATCTCAATGGAGCACTGGTCCGTTTTGTGCTATATTTACACAGTAAGATGCGAAACCCACTCACATGTTTTTGTAGGCTGTGATCCAAATTGCATGTTGGGAAGGAAAGCAATAAATACTTAAATGTGGAAAGGAAAGTTTTGAATATAGGTCAGTGAACACAGTCTGAGCGGGGAAGGTTAGACTGGCACGTGTCACAGCTGTGGAAGAAGCTGGCAATGGGGATGCAAGAGGGCTACTCAGTGCTACTGTTTAAATCGTTATTAAATGCACATCAAGGTATTGTTTCCATAATGAACTCGGAAAAATCAGTTAGACTACACCAGAACAACTTCCTTGTCTGGTTTCAAAGAAATTACTTTTTGTATGAACACACAACTTTTGACAATGTTGCAAAACATTATTTGAACAAAACATCCCTGCAGTGAAAGGAGACTGAAGACAGTTCCAGTGATGGGGTTGTCTGTGAGTTAATGTCCGGAAAGTGAGGGCCACTGAGCGGCCAACACATGTCAACCTAATTGCAGTCAGTCGGTAAACAAAATATCTTGGTTTGTTGATGTTAGGTTAAAGGGCAGAGTTGCCATAGTGACTGGTTGGAGTCAACTGCCTCGTGGCGTTGTTCACCTCAGCTAGTCCTTTGTTTGTTTGGTGTCTTGACTTGCTGGAGTTTGTATGGTTTAGTACACAGGGGTCTCATATATCTTCTGAAGAGTTTTAGGATAGAGCAGGCTACCAAATGTGGGAAGCTACTACTACTACTACTATCCACTACTTTTCCTTCCTTTTTACGCAAGTTCACACATTTTTAAAGAGTGCTTAATTTCTTTAATACTCTGTATTGAGTCAAATTTGAATACAGTATAACGTTCTAGTTCACACAGCTGGTCTTCTTGCTTTGAGTGACCTGACTCCACAGTGTGTCCCTCGGGTGCTGCAATCTCCCTGATTTTCAATAATAATTTCCTTGTGTGTGGGAGCAATCTGCAAGTGCACTCATTTGTTCTTTTTGACACTCTGGGAGCTGCAGGTCAAACTACTACTCTGCATGTGTGAATTTCTAGTAAACCTTACAGAAAGTATGACTATTGTAAATGACTACACTCAGTGTATGTGCCATCAATCATCATAGCCGACCACATCTAGACAAGGCAATATTAGATGTCGAGACAAAAGCCGTTTATATTGGTGAATTATGGATGAACAGTTCTGGTCCAGACTATTAGGTGACCACAGAGTATTAAAACACAACATGTATAAAGTCACTGTTAGGAAATCAAAGTTGCTGAGTTGGCTGTTTTTGTGCGTCTTGCTGTTCATCACAGCTGGCACCTGGATTGTTCCCTCACAGTTGTGTTAAGATAGAGTAAAAGGCTGCTCAATTTATGGCAATGAGGGTTATTACCATCATCTGCAGTATTATGCAGATGATGCAGTGGTGTCATAAAATATAGTAATTTTCTACATGGATAAAAGCATGACTTAACTCTGACGTTCATCTGTCAGAAAATGCAAGTAGTAAACTATTGCTATGCAGTTCTTTTATTCTCTCAACTCTTACTAAATGATCTGAGCAATGGTATATTATTATAGTTTGTACAAAGGTCAATACAATGTTTTGCTCCCAGACTTTTAATCTCTTGCAGCAGTAAAGAATCTGTGTTGAAGTAATGTTTTGTTATTTTTGTATTTCTGAAAAGGTAAGAAACCCCACAGAATAAATGTTTCTGTTTAATTTATGTCAACGACAGGAATAGGTTTCTGATTTCTAATTTGGTTGTGATTTGGCTATACTCCGGCTTGTGGCTGCAAAATATTATAGTGGTGGTGAGACACTGTATTTTGGTGTGGTTTTCTGTGGTTTTATGTCTTTGTGGTCCTTTTTAATCGACCTTCTCCTCTGTATTTCAATATTTTACCCCCTGCTGTGTGTCTTGCTTCTTCATTGACTGCAAACGGCTCTCCTTGCCTCTGTTAAACCATCTCATTGTCTTTGCCATTTTATTCCCTTTTCTTTCTCACTTTCTGACCCGCTAAAGTGAAATCCCACAATGTTTTTCCCATCATGCTGTCCTCCCACCCAGTGTTGAGGTGGTGAACCCCCGGCCGGAGGTATAAAGCGCATGATTTACAGGGACCATATGCAGCAAAAAGGCAAAACCAATGAAATTCAATTTCCAGAACAGTACTCTTGGCTCTATTATACCTTTTACTAAAACAACAGTAGTTAGCTTTTTGATTAAAACAATCTGATGATAAAACATTGGACAATAAAATGTGTATGTTTTGTTGATTGGTGTTAGCTACAGGAGTTCTATTTTTAGGGAGGAAGAAGATGTCATTTAGGGGTGAGAAGAAGACCTGAGGCTGAGCTGTTGACACAGAACAACAAACAACAATTTATAATATTTCTAAAAAAAAAAAAAAAAGTCATACATGGCAAGATGGCTATACTATTAAATTAATTATAACCTTCTAGTGTGTTAAGTCTAGTGGATAGCCTTAAGTAGCTGTGACAGTGTGTGATACTGTATATGACTGTGTGACGCACCGTTTGCAGAAACACCTGCCTTTCTGCTCCCATGTGTGGGCTGGAATGTGTCCATTGTAAACACATACTTATGCCTGGATCATATTCTGCAATAGAGAAGCTTGCAACTTGAGTTATGGATTTTGGTAGATTTTCTAAAGATGCTTTAGTAACCTTGCCAACAAGATGTATTCTCACAATCTATATGAGTTCATATAATCACAAACATCCATCTGGCTCAGCTCCCACTGTTGCAGCTGCCTGGTTAACCAGTGGTTTAGACCAATCACAGGGCAGCATTGTGGTGTGGGCTGAAGCCAAAACACAAGCACCTAAACCAACCAAAGCCAACATGGCGACACAGATGAACATACTTCAGCCTATTTAGCGGCAATGCATCCTTTTAAAAAAAAAAACATGCTCAAGGTAAGAGCTTTGCTTTTTCAGTTTGTGACATGTTGAACAGTCAGATTTTAATATTTGTCTGGACATTCTGCCTTTTCCTGATCACTTTCAGTGAAAGCCTTTCCAGATTGATGTGTAGAATTCAGTTCAGTGCTACACATAGGCCTATTAATCTGGTCTTTTTAGCCTGACACGTTTTGAAAGTATTTCCACTGTCTAAAGTTAATGGCCGTTTTAGGGGTCCAAAGCAGTC